TAAGAGCATTGCCTGCTCTTCCAAAGGTCCTGAGTTCAATTCCCAGCAACCACGTGGTGGCTCACAACCATCTGTAATGAGGCCTGGTGCCCTCTTCTGGACTGAAGAAAGAATATTGTATACATAATAAAAAAATAAATAAATATAAAAAAATTAATCAGTTAATTAATTAACCAACCGAAAAGGATTTCTGCACAGTGGTCTCAAGCCTGTCCACCTTAACGCTGGCAGTCTGTCTCTGAAAGAGGCGAGAGGAGAAGAGTTAGAAACTATTCAGTTTCTGAGCCCCTGCTTCTTTATGCCAATATGGCGGCGTCACGAAGAACACAGCATCTCAACATGCAGGGCTCTCTTTGCTTAACCTTGGCTCAAGCTAGCCTTCAGCTGTGCTTGTATTATAGCCCATTCCCGGCACTCCTCCATTCTTCTCTGTTTTATCCTCCTGGGGTGGTCTCTGCTGTTTTTACTGTTCCCACAGTGGGCGTGGAGGACATCAGTAGGATGCTGTTCAGGTGAGCTGTGTCCCATGAGGGACACTGCAAACCTCTGCTCTAACCGCGTTCTCTTATTTACACACGTGAAGTGTACCTCTGCGCTGACAAGATGGCAAGCAGTAAGAGCGTTGCTGTAAAAACAGTGTTTACCACTGGCCGAGCTCACTGGGGCAGTGATGAGGACCCCTGGAGTCTGGTCCTCACTGGGCGCAGAGTGAGTTCCTGCTGATGGTTGCCACACTTAGCTTCCAGCCCATAGCACGTTTGACAGACTTGTACTCCCCTCCCTCTCCCCCTCCCTGCTGCAGCGCAGCACTGCTGCTCCCTCTTCTTAGTCAGTCAGTTTTGTTTCTCTTTTCCATGACTGGCACAACGTTCCCCTGGAAGGAAAGAAGCGTTGTTGTAAGATAGTCCCTTGGTATTAGGAGGGTGCTATATTTTAGATGTCAAGGGAAGGGCTTGGGGCCTCTCGATTGTGCTTAATATAGTATGCATTATGAAGTTCATCCAGGACTTCTGCCTTGAGGGACATGTAAAAAAAATGACTATTTTCTAAATGACAGTCCCAGTCGACATGTTAATTATGAAATGGAGGTTTAGGAATAGCACATGGACTAAGGCATGAGTCCTTGACTTCTAAACATCGCCTTAGAGTCATTTAAACTCTCACCAATGAGCATGTCATTGGTGTTGGATTAGCTCCTGGGAGTTCCAGGGTACCACAGATGGGCCAGGTCTCACAATGGAGATGTTTTATGAGATCATCAAAGCGGCTGAAAGACAATGCAGCTCCCTCTGTCTCCAAGAACAGAGCTTGACAGTAACATCTCAGAACAGATGTTTCCACAGCCTCCACATGTTTTTATTTGGTGGCACAAAAGACTGTGTTATTCATGAAATGGTCTGTTAAAGAATTAGTTCCCCTGTGTGGGGGTCGTGGGAATATGTGTTATATAAATTGATTTTACTTTTGGCAGGAAAGCGGCCCTTAACTCATCCAGTCTGCAAGGTTGGGCTCTAACAAAGTTCTAATTTTAAGGCCACAGAGTCACAGAGGATGTAGATCAATGACATAGCCTAGCATCTTCCTTAGAGTGTGCCAGGCTAACTAGCCAGGCATCATCATATCATTTATTAAAATAGCAGAAGCCAAGTAAAAACTACAGAAGTCTGGCTTTATAAAGCACAGGCAGAAGGTGGGAGCATCCTGTGGCTAGCTTTATGTCCTCATCCCAGGACAAGTTCACCCATTTAAAAGCAGCAGCGTAGTACGTGTTACAGGATCTCCCGAGACCTTAGTATGACTATTCAGTGATGTAGAATTAGAGGGCTGGTCATTTTCATTGTGATGTCTTGTTTTGTGACTTACCCTGGTCTGTACTTTCTACCCTGTCCAGCGGGCCAGGCGTCGGCCGACCCAAGGGCCACCTCTGACCTGTCATCTGCTGCTGTAAGTGAGGTCTGATGGGATCCCAGCTGCTCTCTTTCGATGTAAAGTTTCTGTGACTGCTTTTGCACTCTCTCACCAGAGGTCACTTAGCTAGTGAAACCTAAAATATTTTCAGAAAAGTGTACCAACCCTGCAGTAGGAGTCACATACATGCTATGACGCAGCCCATGAAGAAAACACCATGATTCTGACACTCAGGTGACCGAGGCAAAAGGATCACAGGGCCAGCCTAGGCTGCACAGCAAGACGTGTCTCAAAACTAACATTGAAGAAGAAAAGAAGGCATGTCAGGTTTTAGTAATCTAGATTCCAAATCTAGATTATAGTCATCCGGAGACTATAAGAACTATCAATAATTGGTGTTAGCCTATCACAGGAGAGTAGTTAGAACATACAGAGACAAGCATGAAAATCAGAATGTTACAGTGAGATCTGAAAAGCATCCTAAAATGAAAGCAACCTTTTTCTGATGTATAGAATATTCAGATGATAAAAGCTGAGTAGCACTTGGCTGCTGCTGTATTTGTTTCTTATCCCTCACCTGTGTGTGTTGGGTCTCAGAACTCCACAGGTGTGCATTTTTGACCTTCCTAAACAATGGGGTGACAAGCACGGGCAAGGCTCTGATGTTTAAATGCTAAGTTATACTTGAGAAGATCAATCATACAAAATCATAGTCACCATAGAAGAATGACTCCAGAGTGCCTGAAGAACAGGAGCCGTGGTGGGAGAGAAATGGACGGGAGGAAGTTGTATGAGAAACCCAAGAGCTGGATGTGTGGCTCGGCAGAGGAGCTCATGCCTGGCGTGCATACACATTAGATCCAGTTCCCAAAACCTACAGGAAGGAAGAAAGGACTGAGGATAATGTTCTACAGAGAGCACTTGCCTAGCACAGGACCTGGGATTAATTCCCAGAAGCACATACACACAAGCCTTATACAAAACACGGTATCAGGTATCACGGTAAGCAGGGAGGGAGGGAGGGAGGAAGAAAGGAAGGCAATAAGGAAATACTAATTGTAAGCCTTGTTATTTCATGAATAGAATATGGTCTACTTTGTCAAGATATAAAACACACATTGGATTTAAGAGATTTAGTGCAAGCACTAGGGAGATGGCTCAATTGGTGAAGTGCTTAAAGGACCTGAATTCTATCCCAGAACCCACATAAAAAGACTGAATAAAATGGGGCGTGCTTATAATCCCAGTTCTGGGAAGCCGAAACAAGGGCTTGCTGGGCGCCTGGTGAGCCCAACCCCAGGTTACTATGAGAATTCCTGTGTCAAATAAGGTAGAAGGCACCAGAAGACACCTGAGGTTGTCTTCTTGCCTACACACACATACACACACACACACACACATATACACGAACATGTATCACAAGAGGAACAGGAAATAACTTTGATTTTATTCAGCCTGTCTGCCAACTTAAACTAAATCTACTGTTAAAATTGATTTCACCTTTTCCTTTTTGCTTTTTGTTAGTGTGGCTACTAGAAAAATACACGTAACTCAGTTTGAGCAGCTGCTAGCCACTTAATGAGTGTTTAGGATGCATACAAGTCCCACCTCAGCTTAGGAAAAGCTTCCTAAAACATTGACCACAAAATAAACTCCAATGATAGACTTGAGCAGGTGACATTTCAGACTTTCATGAAACTTTCTTGATTGATAGCTTGAATCACCTTCAGCTTCCAAATCTTTAATTTCTTATTCATACAATAAATTACAAAACATAAATCACCATTGGAGGTAGTTGGGAATGTTGGCAAGTACCTGAAGTCTCTGTCAGATATTCTCTAGATCACAGGCAAGTGAATATATATGCTAACTCCCCCGGACAGCTGCTTTGGTCCCGTCACTCATCCCGTAACACAGAGATTGTCTGTCTCAGCTGGAATGTATCTAATCTATTTCTTGGCTAGGCTGGCTCCTGAAAAGTAATATTTGAGGTTGTCTAGAGCATCCAAGGGATGTGGTTTAAGTAGGCTTCTCTCATTTGTAGCTTTTGAAGTAATTCCCTCCAGAGTCAAAATTTCCTCTACATCAGAGCCATTGATCCCACTACATCTTCACTGTCTCTCTGCCTTCCCACCAAGAGCTTTGGTATCTTTCCCAACCTAAAGGTTGGTGAGCAGGTGTTGAGTTCCCCCCTTTTGAATATCTCCCGAGTCCTTCCTCCTGCCTCACTTCTCATACGCACTGGCAGTTTTCACAGCGGTGGCAGAATCTAAGACTAAGTCTCTTCCTGTTCCATGCCTATGTCCCTGACCTTGCCTTGTGTCTCTGGCTTCCTTTTAATTCTCAGCTGGGAACCTCCAGTGTTGATTTCATGCTGCTCAGCAGGCACACTGCACTGTACATCCTCAATGGGCACTTGACATCTCTCTTTAAACCTCCATCACTTCCTTCCACCTCGCTTTCAGCTGATACCGTCTCTCCAGCTCTAACTGGAAAACTTGAATCAGGAAAGGGAGCTAAGTCCAGGTCACACTGCTGCATCTGCTGAAGCTGAAGGTGGGTTGCCCGTGGCTTGTCTGGGGTGACTCTGTCTGGTGTCAGATGCTGTCTCTGAGTTACACCCCAGCCCTGATTTTATTCTATCCTAAATATTAACTTCAAAAGATTTTTTCTGTCATGGTACAGGGCCTCAGTTTTAGAAAGTAATATCAATAGTTATTAAAACAAAATGGCAAGAAAGTTTAGTGCTGAAAACAAACCGAGCCACTGTTTATAGCAGACTATGTTTTCCCTTGGTGGTCTAAAGACACGCAAGCATCCATCCACTATAATTTTAGAGTCCTGAGAATGAACCCTGAATCCGAACAGAAAAAGATGAAATGCAATTTGTTCTCATTTTCACACTGATTTCTAAAAATTGTATAGATTCTAATTTAATCAAACCTTCGGAGGTGATCATCCTTTTTTAACATGGTAATGAATAGCAATCTATAACAGAGAAGAGCTTCCGTGAAGGAAGAGGATGTTGTCGCCACAGTGACAGCTGTCCAGCATAAACATCTTATTTCTCTTCTGCTTGTCGTGTGTTTTAGGACAATTCAAGCTGCTGGAACAAGACCGGGACATAAAGGAGCCGGTGCAATATTTCAACAGCGTGGAGGAGGTGGCCAAAGCATTTCCTGAACGTGTGTACGTCATGGAGGAAATTACATTCAACGTGAAGGTAGCTCTGAAGAACCAGATGTTTACCCCTCACTGAGTCGCTGTCACATTCAAGTGTGTAATATACTAGGTGTGCACATCTGTGCCTCCTGGAAACATTCCATCCTCTCAGTAGGTGAATGTTAGCATCTGAAACGCTGCAGATGGTAGAGACGACCCCACGCCTAGCCACACACTGTATTTATTACCACAGTCTTTTATTCGAATTTAAAATTGTCAATTTCAGAAGTAACATTGCTGTATCTATTTTTCTCATGGCTGAGACAAATATCAACAAAAAGCAGTTTAAAGAAAGATGATTTCTTTTGGCTCACAGCTTGAGGGGACAGTCCCATCAGCGAGGGGACACCGTGGCAGCAGGAAGGAGTTCAAGGCCCTGGCCTCACTACGTCACAGTCAGGATGCAGGCAGAGCAAAGAGTTCCCATGCTCAGCTCACTTTCCTTTTTCTTCAGTCTGGGATTCCAGCCCATGGATTAGCCAGCTGATCCGACCTAGAAATTCCCTAACAGACAAGCCTGGAGTCTTGTCTCCTGTCATGTTCGTAGTCAATATTGAGCATCACAATTCCTAAGCAAATAAAAGATGCTTTTATCTTGAACTCCATCCTCCGATCTCCAACAGCTGTTTCATCAGGGCCTCTGCTAAGTTGGGTTTTCCACTCTTAGAAGTAGAAGGCCTATGATGAACCTAATATCATCATTTTGTTTTTTAAAAAGAAATCAAGGAGGAGCGAGAGAGCTCACAGTTACATGTCCTGTGCCAGCACTGAGGTGGGCACACATCCCCTCCAGTCTCTGTGGACTGCCTGTTGTTCTCAAAGGGATGGTGCGCTTCCATATATGGGCAAGCTCCTCTGACCAGACTGGCTAGGGGAGCAGGGCCCTCGTCCAGGGGTTCCAATTGTACTGTTGGCACGCCTGCTACATTTTGTCATCACCACCCACAGTCACCCCCAAACACCTTCAGGTGTCTATGTTGAAAGGATTTCCTGTTTACCCTCTTTTACATAGGAAGTCAACTAAGTCAGATTCTATGAGTAGGTCAAATGTTAGGAGTCAGCGTACCTGTTTCTTAGAACAACAGGCTACATGAGGTATTGGCCCAAGACAGCATCCGTGCCTCTGGGTTAGTCGCCCCACCCACACTCCTCAGGAAACACAGGACAGGGTAGTTCCCAATCATGTGCCCATGACCATGGCAAAGGCACGCCATTCTCCCCACTTCTGAAGGACAGCCACTATGGGCTGCTTTCCATAGTTTTATTATTCGAATTAGAGAGATTTTTATGCCATGTGAAATCTTCTACTGAATGTTTTACTTATATGCAAAAGTCTGGTTTTTGTTTTGGGGTTTTTTTTTTTTAATTCCTCCAGTGCCCCAGTGTATAAGCCATCAGTAGAGCAAACCTTCATTTCCACGTGCATGAGAGCATATTCCTTGTTTTTAAACTTACTAAGTTCCATTAATTCATAAAATATTGAATCTAGGTTTTTTAAGTCAAGACCTTCCCCTTAAAACTTTTATTTAAAATTAGCTAAATGAAAAAAATAAAAGTCAAGCTAATACTTTTAAATTCTTTTCTAAAAGTAATTTATCTCCTAACTGGTGACAAGTCAGGCATAAAATCTTTTATGGCTTTTAAGATTAACATTCTATTTTTGGTTACATATTGCTCATGTAAAATTTTAGGAGACATAGTCTCATTGTGTAGCCCTAATTAGTCTAGAACTCACTATGTAGTTCAAGCTGGCCTTGAACTCACAGCGATCCTCCTGCCTGGGATTTAATGCATACACCACCATACCCTGCTTCATGTACAATACAGGCTGGGGAGACGGCTAAGTCAGTAATATGCTTGCTGTGTAGGCAGAACCTGAGTTTGATCCCCAGCATCCATATAAAAAGCTTAACCTGGCCATGCATGCCAGTAATTCCAGTGCTGGAGAGGCAGGCAGGAGGATTTCTGCATTGGCTGGCCAGCCTGCCTAGTCACTGGGTAACTCATGTTCAGTGAGAGAGCCTGGCTTAAACAACAAGGTAGAGAGTAATAGAGAAAGATAATCAATGTTGAGCTCTTACACACACACACACACACACACACACACACACACACACACACACACACACACTCACACACTCATATAAGTAAACATAAACATATACAACACAACAAAAAAAATGTATGTGTGATAGAGATGCCACTTACAAGTTTGAGGGCACAGATTAGTTTAGGAAATGTGAGCTCAGAACACCCAGAGCTAAGTGGGTTTTGATTGAGTTCCAAGCTGTGCAAACATCGATATTTGATAACTTACAGAGTTATTTAATACTTACAGAGTTTTTAAGAGCCATCAATCAAGTTTGCATCAGTCATTGAAATGTTCACTTCTCTTCAAAGAACCATTGGTAGAAAAATTTTGGGAAATTTGTGTAACGAAGTACAGAACTCCGTGTGCTTAGTGAATGTGTACCGGGCAGGGGAATGGACTGGGACACTTGCAGGAATGCTGGGCGCTGCCGGCACTGAAGTTCAGCGCTGGGAAGCATGGCCTTTAACTAACAGTGTACGCGATATTGGTGTTGGGTGCAGACGTGGGCGGGACAGAATGCTGTGTTTGGTTATTGCATCCCCTGGAGAAAGAACAAAATGAAAAATAACACTATATAGGCTCAGATGGAAACTGTTTCCCAAGAGGCAGAATTTGAGAATTTGGGGGCAGGGTTGTTTTTCAATAAATTCAAACCTACATAGAAAAAAATGTCACCCTTTATTTTCCAATTCAAAAATGGCATAGGTACTAGGAAGATGTCTCAGTGGCTAAAGCACTTGCCAGAGTTCAGAGCCCTAGAACCTCCATAAATGCCAGGAGGGCCTAGCAGCCCACCTGTGGTTCTGGCCTCAGAAGGCAGAAGCAGTTGATCCCTGGCAAGTTGATTATCAAGACTAGTCATATCAGTGAGCTCTGTGTTTGACTGAGAGTTCCTGCCTCAGTGAACAGTTAGAAGGATCGTTGTAGATGATTCTTAACATCAAACTCAGGCCTCCACATGCACATATGTGTTCATGTGTGTGCTCGCATTCACATACATGAAATAGAAAAGGAATAACATAAACTAGGCCAATAAGATACACTATTGAAATTTTTTGTAGTTATGAATTCATGACTAACCGTCTTTATAATTGTCCAAAGACATACATATTTACATATGTAAATAAATATGCATTTTATAGAGTCCAAAATGGATATGAATTGTAATAATTTGAAGTAATAACAAATGTGTTAACATAATAACAACTCAGGGTTGGAAATATATCTCAGTAGTAGAGTCTTGCCTAGCATGTGTTAGACCCTAAGTTTACTCCTCAACACTACAAAAATAATAAATCATAAGAACGGCAACCTTAGTTCTATCTTCTGTTTAAGACTTTAGTAAAATTTTAATTAAGTACAGTGGATAGTACCGTATCTATCTACACTTACTTAGAAATGAAGTATCCGTTTCATTTTATGCTCGATACCGGGTCTCAGACGCAGCCCCGGCTGGCCTTGAGCTCACAGCACTCCTCCCTCCCAGCTGCCTGGGACTGGTACTGCAGGTGTGCGGCCACACTCGCCAAGTGTTTCTCCCAGCCTAACATTAGCAAGGAAAGCTTGTCTTTAAAAGGTACCTTGGTACATTTCAGATCGTTGACCTGATTGCCCCATCGTTGGTGACCTGCACAAAATGAGTTCCTATGCAGTATTTAACAGGTTAACTGGAAAATGCATTTTGAACTCCTACTGCCTGTCCAGAACTGTTCTCAGTGAGTACGCAGGTGCCCATCTTCAGGGACACAGCCTAGTCGGAGAAGAAGACGATAAATAAACAAACAGATTTCAAACTTGGAGAAAGGTTGAAGTTGGGGTGTACGTGTAGAGCCCCTCACCCTTGGAGGATATCTGAGTCTACTTTCACTGACCTGCAATAACTGCTCTCATTGGCAGGTGATTTTGTGCCCGGGGCACATTGGCAGTGTCTCTGTAACTTTGTCATGATTATGGGATGGAGGAAGTTCCTGGCCCCAGCGTGTGGAGCTGGGATGCTCCTGAGCATTCAGAGTGCACAGCAATGAGGAGCTGTCCATTCCAAAACAGCATTAGGACCCAGAGAGCAGAGAGCAGAGGGCTCGGCCCTGGGGCCTGAAGCACCGCAGCATCCAGAGAGTAGGGTGAGGAGAAAGAAATGAGCTCCGAATGAGGTCAGTGCCAGAAGGGGACTTACAATGTCCTCAAAGCCCAGTTTCCAGGATGAATGACAGCTGAACCATACAAAAGCTGACATAGTTGTGCATGCCTACCATCCCAGCTCAGGAGAGGTGGAGGCAGGATAATTAGAAGTTCGAGATTGTGCTCAGCTACATAGTAGTCCGAGGTCAGCCTGGGCTACTTGAGACGCTGTCTTGAAAACAAAAGAACCAAACCTTTCCATGTTTTTAGAACAGTGTTCCCCCACCTTCCTTCATCACATTTTCCCTTATCCTTCAGTTTTTGGTTTCTTTGATGGCAATTTTTATTATTATTTGTATATGTGTATGTGCACGTACCCAAGGAGACCAGAAATGGGAGTCTAACCCTCAGGAGCCAGAGTTACAAGAGGTCGTAAGCTGCTAGTGGTGGGGTCTGAGAACCAAGTCCAGGTCCTCTGGAAAGCACCAAGGCTCTGAATGCCCGAGCCATCCATCTCTCTAGCCTCTCCACTGTCTCTCAAAGCAGCCACACTGATTGCTCGACAGATGGCTCAGCAATTAAGAGTGCATACTGCTCCTGAGGAGGACCCAAGTTCTAATCAACCACACCCGGCAGCTCAGAGCACCTGAACTCTAACTCTAACAATAAGCATCCTCTCCTGGCCTCTGTGGGCTTCTGCCTTCACACACACACACACGCGCGCCTCTGTGGGCTTCTGCCTTCAAACACACACACATACACACAGACACACACACAGGCCTCTGTGGGCT